GTTTGGCAGATAAGCTGACGGCTCAAGTCCCAAGAACGGGAGATGAGACGACAGGAAGCAGCCGCAGGATCCAGAGAAAGCAAAAAGCCAGAACATCTGCTTATATACAGATGTGGGCCACACCTCCAAGGAGACTCCCTTTCATCTGATTGGCTACTCACAGTATATTCAAATCATGGGAGTGATTACATTAAAACACTGAGAATCATGGCCCAGCCAAGTTGACACACAATCTTAACCATCACAGTCACATAACAATGTATGTATAAATTTTTATATGAGAGAGTAACTTGAATTGTAAACTTAAAGCACAACAATAAATTTAAAAAAAAAGACTGGCACTCAAGCAGGACCAACACAGGGCCTGGTGCCCCCACACCCAGCCTCCATTCTGGTCTGGGATGGTGCCTCTCCCAGGGTGAAAGAATACAATGACCAGAGCACAAAAGGGAGTCAGCCAAGCCCTGGTCACACTCCCCAAGCCACACTGGTCCATCTAGTCTCCACACCACAGGAGAATTAGAAACATTTTTGGTGGGTTACTTCTAATACCAGGGCACCCTCCCTGGGACTTCCTGGCCAGCCCTGGCCTGTCCACACCACAGAAGGGGACTTAGAAATATTTTAGGGGATCCTACAATGACTAGCTTCAATGAGGGACCATGACATCTCTGGACCTCCTCCATGGGTGCCCCGTTTTCCCATCCAGAAGGAGACTTGGAAATATTTTCAAGGGGTGCATCCATCAAACAGGCCCCACATAGGACCAAGGGTGGGAGGGGGCAGCCTACTTGGGCTTCCCTGTTCTACTTAGACTGGTCCTGGCCTCTGGAGGGGGACTTAGCAAACTTCTCAGGGAAGCATTCTAACACATGTGGAATCAAGGCCCTGCCTGGGGCGCCCTCCTTTGGCCTCTGTGGCTGACCCAGGCTGGAGCCTACCGGCAGAGGGGGACTTAGAAATATTTTCGGGAGGTGCCTACTAAGGCAGGATACCTTCCCCAGACCTCACAGGCTGGGTCGGGCTGGTTGTCTCTTTGGAGAGAGAGTTAGAAAAATTGCAGGGAGGCACATCCAGTGACATGGTTTCTCCATGGCCAGGCCTTTCTTGCCAGCCCAGGCCTGTGCTCCTTTGAAACATTTTTGAGAGGTTCATCCTACAAGTGGGTCCACATGGGTTGTGGCTGGACACAGAGCACCTTTCCTTGGACTCCTTGTCTGGCCCTGGCTGGTCCCAGACTAGGAACAGGACTTGTGAAAGTTTTCAAGGGACACCTGCCATAACCAGGCCCCACGTGGGACTGCAGGAATGGTGTGGGTGGCCTTTCCGAGACTCCCTAGCTGGCACATGCTGGTCCTTGCCACAGAAGTGGGACTTAGAAACATTTTCAGGGAGTGCTTCCTGTGACAGGACACATGCTGGACAACGGATAGGCTGAGGGCACTATCCTTGGGCCTCCATGCCCACCTGGCTGGGTCTTGGCCTCTATAGAAGAACTTAAAAACTTTTCAGAGGTGCTCCCCATGCCCAGAACCCACAAAGGACGGCATCTGGGCCCATGGCATCCTCCATAGGCCTCCTTGTCTGGCCAAGGATAGTGCCCTCACTTTGGAGGGTGACTTTGGTACATTTTAAGGGGGCACATGTGACAACTAGGACCAAGGTGGGGCTCACCACCTGGCCTGGTCCACTTCTGCCACCAGAGAGGTTCTTATAAACAACTGGGTGGGTGCCACCTGTGACCCCAGGCCCCTTTTCCCCAGACTTCCATGGTCAACTCCACTGGTATCCCCCTCTGGGGAGAGACTTTGTAAAGTGTTCCGGAGGTGCATCAAGCAACCAGAATGTGTGCCGGACCACGACTAGGCTGCGGAACCCTCTTGGGAACCCTCTTGGGACCTCTGGGCCTCCTCAATGGTCCCTCTCTTTAAAGGAAGACTTAGAAAAAATTTTCAAGAGGCTCATTTGGCAACCAGGCCCCACATACGACTGCAACCAGGTCCCAGGTGTCCTCCCCAGGCATTCCTAGCTGACCCAGGCTCATGCCTTGCTTCCCACTCTGCCGGGGGATTTAGAAATATTTTCTGGAGGCACATATGACAATCGGGACCATGTAGGTGCCCTCCGTTGACCCTTCAATTTGGCCCACTCCAGTCCCAATCACTGGAATGGAACTTAGAAACCTTTTCAGGCAGAGGTACCAACAATTGGGTCCATGTGGGATGGTGGACAGGGCTGTCACCCTCTGGCCAGGTCCAATCCCCCTCACTGGCCAAACCCAAACCAAACCCATTGCCATCTTTTGATTCTGACCCTGTAGGACAGAGTAGAGCTGCTCCAAGGGGTTTCCAAGTCTATAATCTTTACGGAAGCAGAGTGCCACATCTTTCTTCCATGCCGTGTCTGGTGGGTTCAAACCACCAACCTTTCAGTTAGCAGATGAGCACTTAACCACTTCACTACCAGGGCTCCTCCCCTCAGTGAAGGGGGACTTAAAAACATTTTAGGAGACTCATCCTAAAACAGGGACCCAGGTGGGACTGTGTGCGGGCCTTGGGAGCAAATCATGGGCCTCCCTATCTAATCCAGGCCAATCACAGCAGCTAAAGAGTTAGAAATTTTTTTGAGAGGCCTTTTCCATGGCAGGCCAGGGCCAGTGTAGCCCCTATGGATGGGGAGTTAGAAATATTTTTGGGAAGCACATCGACCCCTGAGCCATGCCAGATCATGGCTGTATTTGGGTCATCGCCTCAGATTTCCCTGCCCAGCCTTTATGGATTGTATTGTGTTCCCCAAAAATATGTGTTGTAAATCCTAACCCTTATTACCTATGGTTATAATCCCATTTGGGAATGAGTTTTCTTTATTATGTTAATGAGGCAGTATTAGGGTAGGATGCGTTTTAAGTCAATCTCTTTTGAGATGTAAAAAGAGCAGATCAGGCAAAGCAGAAGCAAGCAGAGATGGGAGAAGATAAAGTCATACAGCATGAATATCACCAAGGAGGCAAGGAACTGAGCTTAAAGGAGACAAGGACCTTCCCCTAGAGCGAACAGACAGAAAGCTCTCCCCTAGAGCTGGTGCCCTAAATTCAGACTTCTAGCCTCCTAAACTGTGAGAAAATAAATTTCTGTTTGTTAAAGCCACCTGCTTGTGGTATTTCTATTATAGCAGCACTAGATAACTAAGAACCAGCTCAGGCCCATCCTCACTACTAGAGGGGAACTTAGAAATGTTTTTTTAAGAGGCACCTCTGATACCAGGCTTCACATGGTGCAGCAGATGGAAACAGGGAGCCCTTTGGGCCTCACTAGCTGGCCCAGCTAGTGCCTCCCTCAAAAGAGATTTGGATAAAGTTTCAGGAGCCCCACCTGGTAATGGGGCCCCATGCAGGACTGTAGTAGGGGTTCTTTGGAACATTTTCAAGTGGTGCTTCCAAAGACTGGCCTCTATGCAGACCACAGCTGGGTGGTTGCCCCCTCTGAAGAGAGACTTAGAAAATATTTCAGGTGCATCTGGTGAGTGGGCCACATATGGCACCTTGGGGAAACTGGGGGCACCCTCCTCAGGCCTCCCTATTTTTCGTGGGAGGTCCTGTTACAAAGGAGGCACATCCAAATACTGGTCTGCACGTGGGCCGCAGGCGGGGAGCTGCATGAGTCTCCATGAGCCTTTGAGGGTCTGGCACAAGCCTGTACCAACTGGTGGTGAAGTCAGTTCCTTCTGACTCTAAGCCTCAAGCTTAATCCCAGCATCTCCTTCCTCCATTACAGATCGCAGAACACACCAGAAACTCAGGAAATGCCAGATTCTCTGCCTCTGTCTCCTGGAAGGTCTGTAGCTCCAGCCCACCTGTCCAAAGCCTCTCTTTGGGACTTCCCTCTGATAGCATGTGCTCCACTAGGACCTCCCAGATTCCTCACCCTCAGGGCTCAGCACCCACAAGGCCAAGTCAGGGGAACCCAGGGTGTGTCGGGTTCTCTGAGGCCCAGGGTCCAGCACAGGCCTGTCCTCTGTGGCTTCTCCAGGCAGCTCTGCCAGGTTCTAAGTGGACATAGGAGAAAGCAGCTGACAAGGGAATGAGTGGCAGGTGGGGAATGAGTGGTAGGCAGGGTGTGAGTTGTAGGTGGGGTGTGAGCAGTGTGTGAGTGTCTGATAGGAGGATTCAAACTGGCAAGAAGCCCCACTGCATGTCTTGACCTGGGTCAGCTAGAGTTTGCTGACTTTTCTGGGTCTATCCCCCTCGTCCACTGCCAAACAACCACACTCAGTCATGCCTCAACCTGGGTCCTAGTGGTAACATATTAATGGCTTTCGTTGGTGGCAGCAGCAGCAAGAAGAAAAAGGGGAGAGTTTCCCCCATCCTTAGTGGAGGGGACTCGGGCTCACAAGGGGGCATCCCAGAGGGTCTAGATCTTCTCCCATTGGACTAAGGCCAAGAAGGTGCATATTCACATGGACTGCAGCGTGATTGTGACGGGGTCCTACAAGGAGCAGATGGTTTGTGTTGGAGGGCCTGGGGTGAAAGGGAGAAGGAGTGAGGGGGCACAGAACTTCCCTCTGCTTCTTGCCACCATGCTCCCTGCCCTAGCCTTGGGTACAGCCATAAACCCTCAAATCAGTCCACCAAGCCTCACCCCAAGACCATTAAGTTGCTTCTCAAGAAAAGGATTATCACCTCCAAATCCCCAACTGTCTGGCCAGTACCATCACACTCACAAGCCCCACCCCGGGACCATTAAGCCTACCCCATGGGTGATGGACGCCGCCGCAGACCTTTGTATTATGCTCCCAGAACTGGATACTCACCCCAGATTCCCAAACCTTGTTCTTAGTCCTGAACCCCATTCCCAAATTCTCAAAACCCTTTGCTAGTTTGCTGGACTTACTTTAGACCCTTAAGCCCCTAACCTGGACCTGGACACCACCCAAGACCCTCAAGCTCTGTTCTGGGTCCTGGACAACATTCCCACTCCTCACACAACATCCCAGCTCCCACCTCAGGCCAACCCACACCACCGCGCTGTCCACTGGAGCCTGGAGACTCGGTCCCGAGCCTGACTGGCCACCAGCATGGTCTCCTGCAGGTGGGTAATGGTGAAGGTGGAGAACAGACCCTGCAGGTAGTGGATGGGCCGGCTGAGTGGAGGCACAGCAAGGTTTCTCCTCTCCCCTTCTTTCCAGTTGTCTTCCCACCCGTGCTCACCCGAAAGTCCAAGATCACAGGGGAGATCAGGCTGTGATGAGTATCCTCCCTGATGGTCAACTGGTGCTGCAAGCACTGTAGCAGCACCCTGCGTCCCCAGCTGGCCAGCGTGAGCAGGTGCACTGCAGGGGGCAGCTCCTGGCACAATGCGTAGAACTGTGAGCAAGGACGGGGCGGGGTTCAGCCTGGGAGGGGAGGGGCTTACCGTGCTCAAGAGGCAGGGGTGAGCCCAGAGAGGGAGGACTAGCTGATGGTCTCCCTGACCACCTAGGGCCTGGCAAGTTCCTCTGGGACCGAACCTAGGAAAACCTGCACCCAATCCGCAGGCTTCATTCCAGACCTATCGGCGGACCCAACTGTCCCCAAGCGATAGGAGGTGTCACTTCCCAAAGCCAGCACTATCTGCCTGGCCAGGACTCCTTTTCTGCCAGAAGCAGGTTGCCCGGAGGCGGTGGACCGGACTGTCTAGCAGCATGAGGTGGCGCCCTCTCACCCACAACCACGGCCCCTGCCAATCCAGACCCGCCTCCTGCAGGGGCTCCTCTACTCCACGTGCATCATCTCTCAGGAGCCTTTGATGCACCTAGGAAGAGAGCAGCCAGGAGAGGGTGAGGTCCGGTGGGTGTCCCTGGGACAGAAATTGGGTAAGGCATCCTGGGAGAGCCTAGGTTAAGAGAAATTAAAGGGCGAGGGGAACAGATGAGAATGAAGGTGAGGGTCTGTCCTCTCTTTGATCTGCACACTCACTTGCTCTGACTTTTCCCACCACCACTCAAACCCACCCTTTCACTGACCCCACACCGACCAGGCCCAGGCCTCGGCCCCTTGAAGCCCTGCTCCTTGGCTAAACTGTGAATAGGAATTCCAGAGCACTTAACTGTGCTCATGAGGGACTTGTATGTAGACCAAGAGGCAGTCGTTGGAACAGAATAAGGGGATACTCCATAGTTTAAGGTCAGGAAAGGTGTGCGTCAGGGCTGTATCCTTTCACCATACTTATTCAACCTGTATGCTGAGCAGATAATCCAAGAAGCTGGATTATATGAAGAACACAGCAACATGAACAGATGAAGACTCATTAACAACCTGCGATACGCAGATGACACGACCTTGCTTGCTGAAAGTGAAGGCAACTTGAAGCACTTATGGATAAAGATCAAAGACTACAGCCTTGAGTACAGATTACACCTCAACATAAAGAAATAAAAAATCCCCACAACTGGACCACTAAGCAACATCATGATAAATGGAGAAAAGATTGAAGATGTCAGGGATTTCATTTTTCTTGAATCCACAATCAACACCCTTGGAAGCAGCAGTCAAGAAATCAAATGATGTATTGCATTGGGTAAGTCTGCTGCAAAAGACTTCTTTAAACTGTTAAAAAGCAAAGATGTCACCTTAAGCACTAAGTGTGCCTGACCCAAGCCATGGTATTTTCAATTGCCTCACATTCGTGCAAAAGCCGGACAATGAACAAGGAAGATCAAAGAAGAATTGATGTCTTTGAATTATGGTGCTGAGGAATATTGACTATACCATGGACTGCCAGAAGAATGAACAAATTTGTACCAGAAGAAGTTCGGCCAGAATGATCCTTAGAAGCAAAGATGGTGAGACTTCCTCTCAAGTACTTTAGACATGTTATCAGGAGGTTTCAGTCCCTGGAGAAGGACATCATGCTTGCTAAAGTAGAAAGTCAGTGAAAAAGAAGAAGACCCTCAACAGATGGATTGACACAGTAGCTGCAACAATAGGCTCAAACACAGGAATGATTGTGAGGATGATGCAGGACCACGCAGTGTTTTGTTCTGTTGTACATAGAGTGGCTAGGAGTCACAATCAACTTGACGGCACCTAACAACGACAACAACAATAATTAATGCTTATAAATCTTTAAGATAGATGAAGATAGATAGACAGATAGAGGTATGTATAATAAAACTAATCAAATACTTAAACAGATTCTATAGGGCCAGCCACACTACAGCGCTGCAAAAAGTACCTCATCCTTTGTATTCATTATTTGGCGAAGTCCTCTTGCTTAAATAAAGTCAAACGTGCAACTACTAGAAAGTCATAATTTATAGTAAATAATGTTGAACATGAAGAAGTAAAGCATAAGTTGATAAGTGAATCGTGTATGACATGTATAATGTGACTAGAGAATAAGTTTCTTTTTAAACCTAATGTAATAATGTAGAATGAACACAATATGTATACCAAATCTACTGAATATAAGAACAAAAGGATATCATTTTACATAGAACAAAAGATAAGAAAAAATATATAGCCACTAAAGAGTCAAGCAGCAGCTGCATATATCATTTCAAAATTTTTGATTGTCTAAATTTAACTGTCCTGTTGAAGAAATCATCTCTAACTGCAATGTCACGAGCATCATCTTTTTTTCTTTTTTACAGTTTAGAATGATGATTCACTAAAATTTTTGTTATGGAAGTAGTACTGTTATTTATTTATTTTTTCACATGAATAACCAGTTGTTGCAGATCCGTTTACTTTAAAAAGTCAAATGCACGTGTGTGGTCTGTCTGCAAGGCTAGAGCCTGTTCTGCCTTAAATGCAAATACCTTCAGGGTGGAGCAGTGCCTTGAGCCTGGGAGGAATCCCTGCCTAGAGAAAGAGCTGAAGGCCACGAACCTGTCACTCCCTCCTCACTCAACACTGAATCCTCCTCATCCTTCCATTTCAGATCAAAAGTGTGGTGCAGGCAGAGCTAGTTCAGTCTAGGCATCTGAGGATTTATGGAGACCATCTTACACATCCATGCTATCACAAGTAAGGATTTCAACTGCTGTGACTGGCAGTGTGGACCAAACATTATTCATTTGCCTCCAAACTGCCTAGTGGCTCTGTTTCTACGCCAATCCCATTCTGACAAAGGTATCTCAGCAGCATAGAAGGCGAGAAAGAAGAAGTGAAATGGAATTAATCATCCTTAATAAACAATGATCATTCCACCTACACACTAAGATTCTAACTTCATTGATTATTCAATAACTATTTTCAAATTACTCTTGTCTGTGAGCATGTGTCTACAGGGCAGACTCTTATTCATTCTTCAGATCTCACAACCTGATCGGAACACACCCCCAGACTCATCTCTGCCACTTCCCCATGCCCACCAATGTTGCAGCTACATAGAATATGTTGCCCCTTCCAGAACTATAGGAGAGACTTACACAGAAAGGTATTAATTGTTTATCAGAAATTCAAATTGAACTGGGTGTCTCTTATTTTATTTGCTAAATTTGTCATACTGTGGTGGCATGCATGTGGCTATGATGCTGGAAGTTATGCCACCGGTATTTCAAATACCAGCAGGGTCACCAATGGTGGACAGGTTTTAGTGGAGCTTCCAGATTAAGAAAGACTAGGAAGAATGACCTTGCAATCTATTTCTAAATAAACTAAAATTTTAAAAAGCGGTCAATGAAAATCTTAGGAATAGCAGCGTAACATTGTCTGATACAGTGCCTGAAGATGAACCCCTCAGGTTAGAAGGCACTCGGCACTCAAAATACGACTGGGGGAGAGCTGCCTCCTCAGAGTAGAGTAGACCTTGATGTGGATGGAGTAAAGCTTTTGGGACCTTTATTTGTTGATGTGGTGTGACTCAAAATGAGAAGAAACAGCTGCAAACATCAATTAATAATTGGAACATGGCATGTATGAAGTATGAAACTAGGAAAATTGGAAGTCATTAAAAATGAAATGGAACACATAAACAATGATATCCTAGGCATTCGTGAGCTGAAATGGACTGGTATTGGCCACTTGAATAGGACACTCATACGTTCTACTATGCTGGGAATGACAAATTGAAGAGGAATGACATCACATTCATCATCAAAAAGAACATTTTAAGATCTATCCTGAAATACAATGCTGTCAGTGATAGGATAGTCCATATGTCTATAAGAAAGACTAGTTAATATAACTATTATTCAAATTTACATACAAACCACTAATGCCAAAGATGAGGAATTTGAAGATTTTTACTGACTTCTGCATTCTGAAATTGATCAGACATGCAATCAAGATGCATTGATAATTACTGGTGATTGGAACTTGAAATTTGGAAACTGATTCAGCGGCACCTAACAACAACAAATTTGCCAACCCTACCCAGATCACACTTTGTGCTGTCAACACTCCCTGACTTTGTCACACTCTTCCTTTCACTTAAGATGTCTTCCAGCAATTCCCTCTCTTTGGCAAAATCACCCTTCAAGAGACAACTCAGTCGCGATTTTCTCTGTAAAATGTCCTCTATTTTCCTCAGATGGTTAAAGTATCCGGGGATTCTTAAATCCCCACTGAAGCACCTGGCACACTGAATTGGCCATGGGCTCTTCAAGGTCACATCTGGGTTTCAGATATCTTTCTATCTCTACGCCTGCTACATAGCAGATACTTAATAAAAGTGTGTTGGAGGAATGAATTAATGCATTTCTTTGTAAATGAACTACTGCTATCACCTATTAACTGCCATCCTACTCCTATTTCCCACTGTGCATTCCACTCTCCATCTAAACACAGTGGTTTTTGAAGTTCAGGTCACACCTTTGTATGAAGAAAATTAATGAGTAAAACCAGCATGAAATAGAATCAAGTGAAATAGGGTAGGAGGACTTGGAGTGGAGAGTAATGGAAACTAAAGTGCTGCACATAGTAAGGCTAAATCTTGTTTTGTTTACCTTACTTTTCAGTTGTGTGTGTGTACTAGCTTTTGGCATAAAATGTATTTCTACTGTGGGTTCTTGTTAAAATACTATGAAAGCCACTGTACTAAACCTTAGCTTTGTGCGCCTTATACTTCATTGGGCATATCAATATTAGATGTGATTCTCTATTAATATTTTTTGTGATTGCTTGTAACTCCCTTCAGTAATCTTTAATAGTTCTTCCTTTCCTATAAGATGAATAACTTAGCTTCACATTCAAGACCTTCCATAATCTGTCCCCAACCTACGCCTTAGTCCATTCTCCTGCAACTAACTCCACTGCACAAAACATCTGTTGTTAGGTGTCCTTGAGTTCGTTCTGACTCTTAGCGACCTCATGTGCAACAGAACAAAACACCAAAAACACTGTCTGGTCCCGTGCTATCCTCACAATCATTGTTGTGCTTGAGCTCA